AGATGCTAGTTAGGGTTGTTTCTTGGCTCCCAGCCTTCTCATGAGGAAGTAGAGCAGCACCAACACCGGACTGGGAAAGAACCAGTCCTTAACCCATCGCCTGCCAACTCCCCTTTCTTAGGGGCAAAAGACAGACAAATATAACGCAAACTGCTGTATAAGGAGGCTTGGTGGCTTTTTTGTTGTTGTTGTTGTAATTTTGATGAATAATATCAATGTCTATTTTTAAGCATTTTTCTATTTTTAGCAATTTAAATTTTCATAGGTATGGGAAGATATGGGGAGGTCAGGCAATTATTTTCTGACAGTAGATGCTGAGATTCAAAAAAATTAATGCTTTATAACATTTAACACACAAATTGTGTCCACATGTTAAAATATACAGAATAAATAGCCTTAACTCAAACTCTAACGAGTTCTCAAGCAGCACTTTTCTTAACTGAAATTTACAGACAGGCAAAGTAGCATTGATGGAAATATTTTTTTCCATTGGTTTGTGTGTGTTCAGTGACATCAAAATTTACTGATAAAAATCTTATCCTTCCAAGCTTCTGTATAAGATCTTTTTGGAAACGTCCATGAAACCGAAATTACATCAGGGATCTCAAAACTTTCCAAGGGAAAAAAAACTGGATCCGCTTTTGTTTAGACATTAATATAAATTCTCAAATAGGAGGGGGAGGTCACCATGAGTCTGTGTTACGTGGTAAGTGTCAAATCATGTGGTGATGGCATGCAGCAAGAGAAGATTGGGGTGAATCTACCTATTTGGCTCTTACACCTTCCCCCTCCATCTTGTGGACAGGCTTTCTAGCAAAGGGGGCAGACCAGCCTCAGAATCAGAAGGCTAAGCAGGAAGAGTAGAGGCTAGAAGGATCTGTCCCCCTCTTCTCCCCCACAACCCAGACCACTCCCTAAAAGGCTCTCAGGAGTGGGGAGGACTCTGAGCCGGGCATTGTGTTCAGGTGGTAGTTGTTTTTGCATAGATCTGTACATCTCCTCTACTATCTGAGAGAGAGAGAGAGAGAGAGAGAGAGAGAGAGAGAGAGAGAGAAGTTTCTTTGCAAAGCCTATGTTTTTTATTTTATCTGTCATATGTCCCCAAAAGATTAAACTACAAACCAGAGTGCCCACGAGAGTGTATAAACTATAGGGGAGGCTTGGGGCGGCAGCTAGACTGCAACATCCCACATCCCAAGGAGGGATGCCAGACAGGGACTCTGTACCTTGGGTGTGTACCTGAGAGGCTAGAACTAGAGACACCATCTGAACTCTGCTCAGACCCAGCGGGCTTGGAAGAACGTGGGATCCAAAAGGTTGGGCCCAATACGGCAAACTGGTGACCATACACTAGGGGGAACCCCACATCAGGGCTGTAACACAAGCATAATTGTCCTCACTGAGGGTGAGCTCATTCTGGACATCTCAGAGCTTCCCACAGCTCTAGCACACATTCCATACTATTAAACATTTAGACAGCACCATAATCCCTGCCCCAAAGGCCTCACATATAAGTAGGATAGACACAGACCATAAAGATAGAAACAAACAGAAGAGAGTAGAGGACAGACACACACAGGATAAATCCTGTTTTAAAAAAACCCAACCGTCCTTATATAATGAGTTAATCTTACAAGTTTGCTGTTGCTGAGTAGAGAATGAGGAAGAGGAATGGACTGAGTAGAACAACGTGTTGCAAGTCAATAGTAGAAAGCAAGATGAAAGAAGGGGTTTTAAAGCAAGATCTGAAGGGGAGGAAGGATGGCTGGAGCATCAGAACAGGATTAGAGATAATTAAGAAGAGAACCAAGGCTGGAGACTGGTGGAGGAGACAAACCAACGGGTACTCAAGGATGAGCGAGAGAAGAGTTGAAGAAGTAAAACCTTGGTGTCAGAAAGAAAGAGACAAGGTGGCTGAGAGCAGCAAAGAACTCAGAGGTTGATCGGCTGAGAAATCAGAGCAGTGAGTGATGGGAAGTGGGTAGAGGAGAATGAGACACTGAAAGGGAAGTGGTGCTCATCAGATAGGGCAGACTGAGGTAGAGCTTATCAGAGAGGGAACAGTATCGAAAGGGCCTGGTCACAAGAGCATGAACACGAGAAAGTCTAGAGCTATAAACAACGAAGGACAACGCAGGTCCACGTGTAAGTTGAAGTTGCTTAGAATATGGGTATGAGAATGAGCAGAACTGGAGATGGCCAGGAGTGGAAGTCAGATCTGGGAGACAAGGGGAAAGAAGAGCCAGATTGTGCGCAGTATGAAGGTATAGGAAACGTGAGGGAGAGACACAGAGAGAAGGGCTGGAAATGGCATGAAGGAGCAAAGCCAACCACCACTGCCATTTCACCACTGTTTCTTCCCTCTCCAAAAAGAGCCTGCTCTTCACCCCACCAACCCAGATACCAGCCTTCTCCTCTCACTCACCTGTTCCATGCAGCCAGCTATTTCTTCGGCTCTGGACTCTTTGCTGGGAAATCCTCCCTTCTCTCCAGCCTCTTCTAGCAGAGTACTTGGCCTGGCTGATTCCTTGGCAATGGGACGGGTCAGGACCCAAGCACAGGGGCAGAGACCACTCTGGTTCTTATGCAGGCCTCAATGCAGGCCGGAGTCCTGATGCAGCCTTTCCCCTACATCCAAAGATTTTCCCCTCCTGTGCAGCGGAGCCATCCATTATGGGCCATAGGGAAAAAATGAAAATGTGCTTGTTTCCAAATTGCTAACACAATTGGAAAGTGTACAATTTCCTGATGAATCAAACTACTGTACTGAACCATAGTGATACAGCATAGATGAACTCATTTTTTGGAGCCACACTGGTTCTGCACATGCCAGATAGGGACTTAGGCTACAACACATGAGCTGTAATCCAGTCTAGCTGGCCAATCTGTTGGAAACGAATTCAGCTGGAAGTGAGTTCTAACATTGCTCTTTAAATCCTGTTCCCAGCCCAGTGTAGACAGGGACACCTTAACGGAAATACTGGGAATTCAGTGAACTGCTGAAAGTTCATGTAGAAAAATCAATCCATGTAATATACACTAAAAAGGTTTCCAGCTTGTAAAGGGCAAGGGGTGCTTTATTTAGAGTCCCAATTCTGTCCTGGTCACAGAAAACACATTGGGTCATGAACCCTTTTTGCAGGAGAAATAGGTGTGAAAACATGAGCACTCAGCCGCCATTCGCTTTTGGGGACTGAATTTGTGCTGCCTTCACCTGGAGGCTGTCCAGTCCAGTATACACGACATGCTGCCTTTGCTAACAAATGAGGGGAATTCTGTAGTTTGAGCTACATACATAGATGTGGGGGGAAAGAAAAACTCTAAACATGGTGCATGACCATAAACATCAAGACCTTTACTTTCAAAAGCTGATGAGAAGATATCAGGTCTGAATTTATCACCTAGATTTATTTTTCACATAAGTAACCAGAAAGTTTGTTGTAGAGAATGAACACTCAATGCTATTTAGCATCTCTGAAGTTATCACTGTTAGTGATGTGAAATACTACAGCCCTCAAAGTAAGTCGCTCATCAGGTAGGTCCTAGACAGTTTGGGGACATGCAGCAGCCAGAGCTGTTCCAAAACAGGTCTCCAGTCTGGCATTAAGTGAGCTGCAGTTCTCGCTAGTGTAAGATGAGAGCAGTGTAAGAAGCTATCTAGAATAGCTACGTGATCTCTTTTAGCATGGTGAGTATTTTAAATTTCCCCAACTAGAAATCTTTCTGAAACAGTGGTGAAGGCAAGAATGTTTGAAAAGCCCGTCCTGTAATGCAGCACCTTATCTTCATTAAAGCTCAGATTTGGGAAAATCCCTAGGACTTGATTGTATCAGACATTTCACAGAGGTATTCCTAAAGCATATGGATGAGACAGGAAGATAAAATGCAGCTGAGCAATTTTTCATTATCACCTTACCGGTTGCCTTGTGTATGGACACATCATTACACTTCTTTCTACAAGAGAAAAATGGGCTTTACTTCCGTATTAGGGCAGGAGAGCAAAACAAGTGCAAGGAAACAGTCACAGAATGAAGATGTGATGCTAGAAAAGATATTTAAAGGGACATTGTCAACCTGAAACCTTCCTTATTTTTGGAAAACTGATGAAATAGTTTTAGGCACTACACTTGGTTCCTGAATACTCCTGCTATTCTTGTGGTTTTGCAATCGCTTTTTTTCCCTATAAGAAATACAGAGGAAATTGACTGAATGTTTTGGGTGGGGGAGGGCAGGGGGAGAAAAGGAGAGAACAGAGACAGTGAAACTGACTATGGACAAAGTGTTGTCAATTAATGCAAAAAAACTGAAAGAGTAAATTTTGTTTCTCACTTACAGTGATCTTACAAGATGACAGACGTGTGATTTTTAAATGCATGCTCTCTCCCAACCTTGCCCACTGTGTATAAATCTCCTTCAAGTATCTTTAAAAGTATGTATTTACATCAGTTTTGTTTTGGTTACACTGACCTGTGCAGGACATTTTGAGTTTGAAACATCTTACCGTATGCTTTAAATACTATAGAATTCTCTAAATAACAGCACTTACAAGCTGCAAGTGCTATTAAACATTTAGGGCTGTATTCTGAAACACAGGCTCAATTAGTTTCCTACAAATTATAAATGCAGTGAATTGAGGTCATTTAGATTTAATTACCTGATTGTATCTGAAAATAAGCTACAACATCAGTGATCAAAAGTAAACTGTGGGTGTAAAACTGGGGGCCCAGTTAAGGCTAGGCTGAAAAGTAGTGCTCTTCCACCTTGAGATGTCTACCAGTGACAACTGCACTCTATTACCCAGCTTTAGATTGTCTTGTACCAGTCACCCAAATCTGTAGGACACATGAGACACTAACACTGGCAGTAACAATTCAGTATTTCATTCACAATGTAAAAACAATCTCCTTCCAATAAAAGGGATATCAACTAAAACTTTCAACTCAAAATAAGATTTTTCTAGTTAACACAAAACACAAATGACATGCTTGCTCTGTTTCAGGCACTTTCAAGATCATCGTTTATTTACTGTAGGTAAAAAGCTAGTATACAGATTAGGGATCCCTTAAACTTCAACTCTACAGTTATACACCACTTAGTATTTTTGCTCTGAATGTTAACCAAAAAGTTTCTAAACACCTGTAAGCCCCACTATTAGTATGCATGTTATGAGGAAAAAAAAGTGTAATTTGCTCAATGCATAATATTTACACTGTGAAACCAGTGGCAGATAACAAGCAGTGGTAAAGAGGTAATAAACTTTAAAAAGCCAAAGTTTATATTTTTTACATTGTGCTAATGAACATAATTGTATATAAAATAATGAACATAGTAGAGCTTCCCATTACAGAAATCTTAGTCATCTGAACTGTAGTCATTACTTGCTAACAATTTACATGCAAGACCTCCTAGGTTTGACATTTGATTTTTTTAAGTGTAAGTAGATTATGACATTTAAGAGACAAACATTAACTTGTGTACAAACAAAATTAAAAACTGCACTCAAGAACTGTACTGGTCACAAGCCTCTTCCATACAGAAATAATATAAACAATGACGGCAACCGGTCTCCTTTCCATACAACAAACAGTATAAAAGGCGATGCTTAGGCTGAGTTGTACCTGGATGGTACAACTCCATAGACATTGGGAACACACAGAGTTCACACTCTTTATAAGAGGCCCATCTTTCCGTCCAATGGCAATGGCTGAAAGCAAGTAAGGGGCACAGGTGTACAACTAATTAAATCTTGCAAAATACAAAGATGGGGGGCTGTTAATATACAATTCAAACTATATACAGAATATAATGGAATGTATCCCATCCCAAACTGCTTTGTGAAACAACTGGACCTGTCTACACTAGCCTCGTAATTCAGAGTTGTAATATAACAAAATGTTAAGTACACAAGAGATTTACATGAGAGGTAAAACTTATGGGGCATTTTACATTAACTATTTGCGGAGATGTTTAATGGATATTCTAATTTTAAAATAATTTTGTTAAGCACATTTGAACCAATGTCTATATATAAAATGTCCTGACAGACACTTCAATATTTAACTTTGGTGATTTAAAAGGCCTTTTTGTGACTTTTGTATGAACGGCACGGCAGAATGCTACTGATGCGTGTACACATCTGCATCAACCCGAGACTTGGTGATCCAACAGTGCATGCACATTTCTTTCTTGAGGTGCTTTCCAAGTTAAACCATTCCAGCAACCAAAGAGTGAAAAATGGACTAAACTAAGAATTTCAGGTAACTGTAATTTAATAGGGAACGGAATGCCAATATGGCAGCAAAACTTTTTTTAAACAGGAAAGTCTCTTGTACTAGCAGAATCCGTATACAGATACACAAAGGGAGAGGGAATACACCACCTATCATTCCTGTGAAACAAGAGCTGATTCATCATGTGAGAAGGTACAAATTACAGAAAACATGAATAGTCAATAGAAGAGAAACAACTGCTTTACATAAAGAAGAGAGAAGAACACTTCAATCTGATCGCAGTTATTTTGTGAAGGCAGCTACAACAGCCCAGAGGACCTCATTTGTGTTGGCCTTCAGACATTCAACTTCAGGGTCTAAATCCAGAAGCTGCCGCACTCTCTTTGTGGCTAAATCATACTGCTCATCCAGTAGGGGAGCAAAAGCGTTCTCAAGAACATCTGAAGCATGGGCTAAGTAAATGAGAGCCAGCAAGCGCTTGTCCATGCGGTGAGGGTCATTCACCCATTTGTCAAGAACTGCTTCTTGAACTTTCTTGATGAGACGCTGTTTTATATTGTTGTTGGTGAGAGGGTGGGTAGTCATGTCAAAAAGAAGGAAGTTCTGTTTCTCTGTCGTCAATACACCTTTTTCCACTAGGTTTTTAGCTAATCGTTCACGCACATTTCGTAACTGGTAGTGCAATTTTAATGGATTCCATGTCTCACCTAAAAAAGAAACAAAAAAATCAGTTAATCAAGGTTTAGCTCCTACCTTGACTATTAACAAGGACAAGTGTTTACTTTTTTTGTAGTGCAGAAATAAAGGCTTCAATTAATATAATGACTTAGTGCAGAAAGATGCCATACTACTGGCAGCTCTCTTCTAACCTCTGGCCAGCAGATATAGGCTTAGACAAGTGGAACGTAAGAGTGCCTCCCTGAACAACTTCAGGGCACTCAAACTTACATAAAACATGTAGCTGGTTTGTTTGCACTCTGTTGAAGGTGAGATGCAAGCTAAGTGATGACTTTGTTACTACTATATATTTGTCATCACTTATGTATGTAACAAAACCAGGGAAAGTGGAGAAGAAACAGAGGAAAACGATGAATAAAAATAATTCTTAGTGAAGAAAATGTCTCTCCAATCTTTCCCAGTTGTCCATTTCCAGCACTGCCACTTGAAAAGGCTGGGAAACTGTCGTTTTCAGCCATTGCCATTCTTTCTGCCACAAAGTTGTGCTAATGCTGATTCTTATCCTAGATATCGATCTAATTGCTTTATCTGGTTAGTTTTATACTCATTTCCTTTTTATAGACAAATCTGAGATAAAGGTGACCATCCACCCTCTACTATACGTCTTCTTGTAATGCCTGAAGAAAGCTATGATGTTTACATGAAATAAGGAAAGGCATTTCCAAACACATTGTTAAAGGAGAAGAACAAAATTTTAAAAAGTATTTTACTTAACCTTAAATATTTTGGGTAAAACCATGTAAATAAGTGCAGAGTATTACAGCAATGGATACTGCTTAGCTAAGATTGACAAACATTTCAATTTAACTCTTGTTTTTAGTCACTCGTAACCTGCTTAAGCTTTTATCTTGTGGGCTGAAATTTTAGATGCCTAGTCTGTTGAAGATGAATTTTTTAAGAAAGAAAAGATAAGACCCAAAAACATACAAACAAAAAAGTTTCCCTCATATAAAAAAAAATATCTTTTTGAAAAGCCAGCAAGGAGATGAAAGTTAAAAATTTGGCATGGAGATGGCTCTTCTTCATAAGGGCTTTCGTACATGACAAATGTTCCGATTTGGCAAGTTACAGGCCTTTGAAAATGCCATTTTGCATATATACAATAAAAATGTTTAAATTGTAGCGGGTGTAATTCCTTCAGAACATTTCAAGGAAACACAGGGTGTGCTGCACATGTATATATAATAAGTTAGAAATGTAATCAAAAACTGACTGTAAAGTTTTGTAGTGTGACTCAAAGATCCTGTGAACGTATGACTCCTTCAGCATGCACATTATTGCCTAGTGAACGACACAGGGCTCTCTACCAGCCCTGCCTGATTCAACGTGGTTTCCTCCGGTGGGTCCTGAAACTGTGCCTAAATAATGGATCACAGTAAGAGAAAGTAAGTAGGGAATATTAGCTAATTGTTTCCTTTCTTTTTTAGGTGTTTGTACTACTCAGATGTAGATCGTTGGTGCTAATAAAATGAGTAGTTTGGTGACACCTTGTGTCCAACTACGTGGAACTGCACTACTAGAGATTTAGACGTGGTGGTTGTATTTTCAGAAACAGTGGATGTTCTGACACAAGTTTGCATGTTCTGTAGGCTGCTTTCCGTAGGGATCACCTTAGGAACCACGCCTGCTTGAAAAACGTTGCCTTAAAATGGCCCAATTTGCACTTCCATGATGACTCTGGAAGAGGTCACGTAAGCAACCTTCTTAAATAGAATCTTCCTTTCTCTCTCACTTACATTATACTGCACTAATTTAAGATACGAGTGGCTTTTCCCCAGGAAAAGTCTTCAGCCAAAATACTAAAAAACAAAAACTGTGTGTTGTTGTGAAGTCTATTTAAAAATCCAAGTATTATTCTTCAAAAAGCAGTTCTCTAAACCAAGGATTCCCAAATCCTACCCCCAAACCAACCACCAAATAACAGAGTATAAATAAAGAAGATTGATCTAGCTTTCAGGCATATCCACCTTCGGCTGTGATCTCCTCAGAGCTCAAAGCTCAGAAGGGTCAAACCAGGTCAAAATATGGATGAGACCTTAAAGGAAAACCTAGGGTGTTGGTGACACATTACATGACCTTTGAATCAGGACTGGCCTAGTACGCTCAGCATGGGGAAACAGGCAGTGTGCTAATATGAATGAGGTATTTTGGATAAGAAAAGTAAATTTCTTTACAAGCTGTAGAAATATTTGCAGGATTAGGGGACTGTTAACCAGAATTCCTATTAAATCACAAAACTGTTCTTTCCCCTCTTCTCCTTTCTTTCCCTCTCCCATTAATTCATGCACAGTGAAAAAAGAGAGAGGAGGGATCGTGATAATGAATGTGAAGTATGAAATGAAGTGGGAGAAAAGGTGAATCAGTGAAGAGGGAAGGAAGGAAGGAAGGAAGGGAGGGAATGAGACTCCACTCTAATTTAAATACTGATCTGAGTTATTTGTGCTATACAGAAGGGAGGGGGAAATCTCAAGGGAACACTGATTTTAGCCCTCTAACTTCATTCTGCCTGTCCTGAAGTCATGTTATAGTTTCCATTGAACACAGTAGTTTTCTTCACTTTCTTTTCTAAACTACATAGCATTGTTCTGTAGTGGTTCAACAACAGCTACAATCCATGTAAGAGTAGCTGCATTTCATTTCCATTCTGGGTGAAGTAACGGAGACAAACAGGGTGGATAAAAAGAGATGATTTAAAAAAATCAGATACATTTTTCTTTGTTTAACATAAACTTGTTTAAAATTAAATTGAAATTATGAAATTTATGTTAAGGCATAATTTTACTATATTCTAGTCAAATAATTTAAATAAAATATGCTTCATCAATGAACCCTCCTCAAATTTTAATGAGTTGGAGGGTGCTGATTTTTTAATTTATATATAGAATCAGGGGGAAAATCATATTTGAAGTCAACTCAAGTTTTATAAATACGTCACAACGTTATGTACTGCATTAAGTATCTATATTATTTTCAGTCTTTATAATGGAGCAAATGCTGGCATTTATATTTTTACAAATGTAAGTACTTTTAGTTTCTGCTGAGCAGAGAACCTTTTGCCTTAATTACTTTTGGTTTCAGTTTGCTAGCAGCTGGTGCAAAGAGAATATTTTCTTCATGTGGACTATTTCATTCAAAATTGAGAAACCAGTTTGGAGTTGAAAAAGCAAGAAAGCTTTTTTAGTCCTAAGTGGCACACAGGATCTGGTTCAAGAGGTGAATAGAGCTGACCTGCTTAGTAAAAGCAGCCATAATGTAATTAAATTTAACATCTTTCTGGGGGGAGGAGGAGGAGGGAGGAAAGAAATCCACCACAGTAGCATTTAACTTCAAAAAGGGAAACTACACAATATGAGGAACCTAGTTAAATGGAAATTAAACGGAACAGTCACAAGAGTAAAATGTCTGCAAGCTGCATGGAAACGATTTAAAAACAACACAATAGAGGCTCAACGAAAAAACTGCCATTGTGACTAAACAAAGTAAAAGAGGCAGTGAGAGGCAAAAAGATATCCTTTAAAAATCGGAAGTCAAATCTTACAGAGGAAAATAGAAAGAAGCATAAACTCTGGAAAGTCAAGTGTAAAAGTATAATTAGACAGGCCAAAACCAAATTTGAAAAACAACTAGCAAAAGACAGAAAGAAAGACAGAAAGAAAAACAGCAAAAAAATGTAAATATACCAGAAGCAGAAAGCCTGCCAAACAATCAATATGGCCACTGGACGATCAATGTGCTAAAGGAGCACTCAAGGAAGACAAGGCCCTGGCAGAGAAGCTAAACGAATTCTTTGCATGGGTCTTCACTGCAGAGGATGTGAGGGAGATTTTCACACATGAGCCATTCTTTTTAGGTAACAAATCTGAGGAACTGTTCCAGAATGAAGTGTCAATAGAGGAGATTTTGGCGCAAACTGGTAAGTTAAACAGTAATAAATACCCAGAACAAATGATATTCACTTGAGTTCCAAAGGAACTCAGATATGAAATTGTAGAACAATTAACTGTAGTATGTAACCTATCATTTAAATCACCCTCTGTAGCAGATGACTGGAGGATAGCTAATGTAATGCCAACTTTTTAAAAAGGCTCCAGGGGCAAGTCTGGCAATTACAGGTCAGTAAGCCTAACTTCAGTACAACACAAATTGGATGAAACTATAGTAAAGAACAGAATTATCAGACACATAGATGAATACAATATGTTTGGGGAGAGTCAACATGGCTTTTGTAAAGGGAAATCATGCCTCACCAACCTATCAGAATTCTTTGATGGTGTCAATAAGCATGTGGACAAGGGTGATCCACTGGATATACTGTACTTGGCTGGACTTTCAGAAAGTCTTTGACAAGGTCCCTCACCAAAGGCTCTTACGCAAAGTAAGCAGTCATGGGATAAGAGGGAAATTCCACTCATGGATCAGTAACTGGTTAAAAGACAAGAAACAAAGGGTAGGAATAAATGATCAGTTTTCACAATGGAGAGAGGTAAGCAGCGGGATTCCCCGAGGATCTGTACTGGGACCAGTGCTGTTCAACATATTCATAAATGATCTGGAAAATGGGGTAAACAGTAAGGTGGCGAAGTCTGTAGATGATAATAACATCACTCAAGATAGGTAAGTCCAAAACTGACTATGAAGAGTTACAAAGGATCTCTCAAAACTGGGTGACAAAACAGCAGATTAAATTCAATGTTAATAAGTGCAAAGTAATGCATGTTGGAAAACATAATCCCAACTATACATACAAAATGGTGCTGGGTCTAAATTAGCTGTTACCATCCAGGAAAGAGATCTTGGAGTCATTGTGGATAGTTCTCTGAAAACATCTGCTCAATGTGTAACGGCAGTCAAAAACATGAACAGAATTTTAGAGACCATTAGGAATGGGATAGATAATAAAACAAGAAATATCATAATGGCACTATATAAATCCAATGTACACCCACACCTTGAATACTGAGTGCAGTTCTGGTTGCTTCATTTCTAAAATGATAGATTAGAATTGGAAAAAGTACAGTATGAAGTATGAAGCAGCTTCCATATCAGGAGAGATTAAAAACACTGGGACTGTTCAAGCTTGGAAAAGAGACCACTAAGGGGGGGGGATCTGATACAGGTTTATAAAATCATGAATAGAGTAAAGAAAGTGAATAGGGAAGTGTTATTTACCCATTCACATAACACGCGAACGAGGAGTCACCAAATAAAGTTGATATGCAGTAGGTTTAAAACAAACATAAGGAAGCAATTCTTCACACAACGCACAGTCAACCTGTAGAATTCATTGCCAGGGGATGCTGTGAAGGCCAAAAGTATAATTGGGTTCAAAAAAGAATTAGATAAGTTCATAGAGGATAAGTCCATCAATGGCTATTAGCCAAGATGATCAAGGACGCAACCACATACTCTGGGTGTCCCTAAAACTCTGACTAACAGAAAGTGGGGCTGGATGACAGGGAATGGATCACTTGATAATTGCCCTGTTCTGTTCATTCCCTCTGAAGCATCTTGCACCAGCCACTGTCACAAGATAGAATACTGGGCGAGATGGACCATTGGCCTGACCCAGTATAGTTATGTTCCTTTCCTAGTCAATGAATAAAATCAAGGAGGTGGGAGGTGAGATCCACCAATTCTAAAAACTTAAAGGTTATGGGGCCAGATTTTTAAAAACAGACCCCTAATAATGCAAACAGATGCCAGTGGGATTTTTAAACAGTGTCTAAGCAGGTTTCATGTTGATTTCATCTTCTTTTAATGTGAGTTGGACACCTAGTTACTTCTGAAAATCCCATTAGGCATCCATCTGCATTTTTAGGCACATAAATATTTTTGAACATCTGGCACATGGTGACCAGAAACAGTCAATTCACTAACTACAGTTAATACTTTCTTTGTTTAATAAATTAGTTTAAAATGCAAAACATGTTCTTGTATACACAAGGGAAAAAATAAGTTTACAACACAAAATAGTTTTATTTTACTAATATAAAACAATTTTAAAACAGGTTTTTGCATATTTTTAATTGCATTCTAATTTCCATCCAAATACAGCTTGACAAATCCTGAGTAAAATATCATCTAGCAAATACGAAATGTATCATTCACCATTTTCTAACATAAATAATGTAAAAATTAACAATCCAAATAAATGTATACTTAAGTTATATAACTGCTTAAATAAACGAGTATAGATAGCGTATCCCCTTGTTAGCAAAAATTAGTACCATATTTAGCATAAAGGCTATTTAATGTTTGCAAATTAACACATTTCAATGGTTATACCAACCAATGAGAATGAACCATTTTTTAGGAAAATTCCTAAAAAGTACAAAGGTGAAACAAGATTAAAAACAAATGATTAAAATCGAGGTTTCCTGCTTGCTGATTTAAATCATGACTGAAACTGGCAATTTAAATCATTTTGATTTAAATTAATGCATCCTTCAGACAAACAACTTTGTAATGAGTCTTGCTACACTGAGATGGAAAGGCACTGCATAAAACAAGATGATCATCATTCAGTGGTAGAATTCCCTTTTCATTTCAGTGCAATTGATGCACTATGTGGAGAACAACTGTCATGGATTTAAGTTTCAGAGTAGCAGCCGTGTTAGTCTGTATCCACAAAAAGAACAGGAGTACTTGTGGCACCTTAGAGACTAACAAATTTGTTAGTCTCTAAGGTGCCACAAGTACTCCTGTTCTTTTTATGGATTTAAGTGTACTTGCAGTTAACATTTTCTTCAGTAATGGTATAATCTAATTTGCATTCCATCTCTTAAAACCTATTTGTGGAACTGTATCAAGGCAATTGTGCCCCAATAAGTGATCTTGCATCCTTCATTCTGAAGAGATTAGAACTGACTATTCTGATTAGTCAAATTTCAAAATATTTTATAAGTTTCTCTGAATGGTGAATTCTGAAACAAAAGTAAAGGAAGTTGTGGGCTTGTTTTGATTTATAAAATCTCCAATTTAATTATGTCCTTGTTTTAAATTTGAAATATCAATTCCTCACTTCCATTTCTTCACTGGAGGATGTAGGCAAGATCTTTGGAGGACATGAACAATAAACTATAAGGATGTAACCTGAACTGAAGCGATCCCTTCTTCCAGATAAGAGGGAAAAGGCTCTTATAACTTGGAGAGGAAGGCTTGTGTTATTGTGGATTCAACTGTTATTTCTCAACAGAGGAGATGTGGTGTTCCCAAATATTTTGGCTTAATATCCCTCAAAATCTGATGTGCCAGGCAATTAGTATCCCCAAATTTTACATCTGGATCCCTTCTATCTAGTTAAGCCAATACCAGCAGTTACTTGTATTATCCAACTGGCCTCATTTTGATAAGTGCTGCAACACACCAAGGATCAGGCACTTCCCCAAGAAGCTTACAATATTTCCTCTAATCCAGTGATGACAGTTAACGAGAATTATTTTTTAAAATATTTAAAAATTCTATGTTGACATCTTACCACTAAGCAGTTCAATCCAGTTTTGTACTGTTTCAGGAGGCTGGGTTTCCTTAATGTGCTTCAGAGCTTCATCAAGTAGAACATCCCCTGTGGGAGCATCTGACTTGCAGATCACCTGACAGCAAGTAAAAGAATGCATTACACGTCATCCTCCTGTATTTTCATCTCATTTTATACACGTTAAACATCTAGGATAAAAACTGGGAAAATACCCCTTAATACCACACAACACTATTACATTTGATCTGCAGTTCTCAACAGTGCACATTACATCTTGATCAGGAACATCCTGTTTGAAACAATTTAAACCCAATTTAAAAACCACCACCAATTTCCTCTTTCTCTCTGAAGAACCTGCAGGGCAGCTTTAGTTAAAACCTCATTTTACCATACCTGGTGACTTACAGTTTGTACTTCTGCTGTACAAAAAATTAAGGCCGCCAAGAATTTAACTGTGAAAAGTAAGTACTGTGTAATTATCAAGTAGAGTCATTTATAGACAGACTTTACAAATACTGTTCCCAACTTTGAAACTTAATCATTATGTAAAGAGAATCTCTGATTAAGTTTTATTAGTCAGACTTACTGAACCATCCAAAGTAACCTTTATTGGTTAACTTTACTACATTTCAATTTTTAGAATTGACATTTCAGCAGGTAACTATTCATCAAAATTTCTTTGTGGTCTCCCACTAGCTGCAATTCACTCTCTTCCATAACAATGTTATGATCTTTCTGTTGTAAATAGCAAGCTGCTGCTCAGCAGTTGACATCTGGTGACATGATTTTTATTTACTTAAAAAAAAAAAAAAGTTATCTGCATGCAAATATATGCAGCACAATTCTCATTTCATATCCTACATTAAAGACATAATGCAGAAGAATTGCATTACCGATTTTTAGTATATTTAAACAATAGCAACAATTCCATGCAACAGTGAAATTAGATATTATTTTAACTGAGACCCATTCTCAAATGCAGGTTTCTTGGGGCCTCAACAGTATCAGTGGCATTCTTGAAGAAAATCCAGTCATTTATTCAATATCTGTAACACTTACACAAAAGTTTTCATTTTCAAAGTGCTTTAAAACTAAACCAATCCTCACAGAACTCCAGGGAAATCAGGAAGTTTTTTTTGTCTAAGGCCCAAAAGAGAGTCAAATCTGGAATTACAACACAAGAGCAGTGTTCCCTCTATTTTTTTCCATCCATGTGCGGAATGAATTTTGTTATATGCACCATATTGAGGTACTGTGCAGATGTGCACCACCAGTAGAAACCAAAAACCTAGATATAATATATATTTTTAAAAAGTTACCATAGGGATAATTACTCCAGCCAGGACAGGTTAGGCATTTTAGAACTCACTAAAAGAATTAAATTTAAGCGAGAGAGAAATAAAAATTATGAAATGCACAGACCAGTCAAACAATTAAAATAACACACTTTGAAAGAAGTAACAACAACAACACAATTATGTGTTGGGAGGAGGTGAGTATGACAGACACACAGAGTGAGAGACACAGACAGACAGACACGCATTGGCCCTTTAAGTATGCTGAACCCACTTTAAGTATGCTGCCCTTTTAAGTAGATCAGCAAGTTCAGACACAGCAGCAGTTTCCAGCAAGCTCCCTGTGTCCTGAGCCCTGTCATGTCCCTGTCCTCCCTGCACTCTGGAGACGGGGTACAGGGACAGGCCACCCAGCTGCGCAGCGTACATGGAATTTAGGATAAAAGCAGCTGGATCCCAATCCTATGCTCATATAGAGCCCTGTCTACCATCATACTACCTACCTATAAAAAAAAATCTGTCATAGCACGAATATTAAATTAGCCCTCCTCCCAAAAATCATGGAATCCATGACATTGGTAAAATTAGAACCTTCTGGAGGAGGGTGCTATCAGGTGACTGGTAAACGCAAGTTTCCTCTAGATGTGATTCGCTATCAAGACTGAATATTGGGGGGACTTCAACATTCTAGAAACAACTAAATCACTCTGTTCTAGCAAGCACATTTGATATAGGGACTGATATTCAAAATCCAATGTTTTCAATTTCCACTTACTGATGTAGAAGGGGACAACCCCAAGTGTCTGGATTGTTGGATTTAGCATGTTGGCGGCCTGTGATAGACAGGAGGTCAGACTAGATGATCTGGTGGCCCCTGCTGCCCTCAAACTCTATGAGTATTGCTACAGCAGCAAAACTGAGAACCACTTTTTAAAAAGCGAAGATCTGCCATGCAGTTATCTATCATTGGGGCAGTAACATGAAAATCTGAATTTCAGCACTGTAAACAGTGTGATGAAGCCATACAACAAAGAAAATAATGTTCAGAAGCAGATGGCATAAAACTAATAAATTAGTCTGATAGGACCAAATGCCCAAAGACATTCAAGTGATATGTGGTGGTTTGATTTGCATTAATAGACAATTCCTTAGTTTGTGGCACAAAATGCATAGGTTTGTATTTCTAATAGGCAAGGCATCCATCATATCTAATCCCCAGCCAAAGTGGGAAGAACAGATCTATATGACATTCTAAATCACAAGAACAAAGAGGGGCCATAGTTTACTACTACTTTTTGTGGTTATCATAACAGCTATATTTCATAGACTCAGAGAAATGTAGGGCTAGCAGGAACCTTGAGGGGTTGTCTAGTCCAGCTCCCTGCACTAAGACAGGATTATCTAGACCACCCTGACAGGTGTCTGTCTAACCTGTTCTTAAAGGATTCTACAACTTCCCTTGCAAGCCTATTACAGTGCTTAACTACCCTTATAGACAGAGAGTTTTTAATATCAACCCTAAATCTCCCTGGCTACATATTAAGTTGATTGGTTCTTGTCCTACTTTCAGTGGACACGGTGAACGATCAATCACTATCCTTTTTATAACAGCCCTTCACATATCTAAAGACTAATCAGGTCCCCCCTCCTTCTTTTTTCAAGGCTAAACACAGCCAGATTTTTTAAACCTTTCCTCATAGGTCAGGTTTTCTAAAACTTATTTTAGTTGCTCTCCTCCGGACTCTCTCCAATTTGTCCACATCTGTCGTGAAATGTGGCACCCAGAACTGGACACAGTACTGCAGCTGAGGCCTCATTAATGCCGAGTAGAGTGGGACAATTACTCCCATGTCTTACATATGACACTCCTGTTAATACACCCCAGAATAATATTAGCCTCTGTTGTAAGTCTACCACATTGTTTAATCGCCCTCAATTTGAGATCCGTTATAACCCTTTTCAGCAGTACTACTGCCTCATCAGTTATTCCCCATTTTGTAGTTGTGCGTCTCATTTTTCCTTCCTTCTTTCTTTGTAGTACTTTACACACTTATTTTTATTGAATTTCATCTTCTTGAAATCAGATCAATTCTCCAATTTGTCAAGGTAATTTTGTATTCTACTGCTGTCTTCCAAAGGGGAAGCAACAACCCCCTCCCAGCTTGATGTCATCTGCAAGTTTTATAAGCATACTCTCCACTCCATTATCCAAGTAATTAATGAAAATATTGAATAGTACCAGACCCAGGCCAGACCTTGCAGGACACCACTAGAGATGTCCTCTCAGTTTGACAGTGAACTACTGCTAACTATCTGTGTATGGTCTTTTAACCAACCAGTTTTGCACTCAGTTTATACTAATTTCATCTAGACCATATTTCCCTAGTTTGCTTATGAGAACGTCATGTGAAACTGTGTCAAAAGTCTTACTAAAAATCAAGGTATCACATCTACAGCTCCCTCCGATCCACTATGCCAGCATCCCTGTCAAAGAAGGAAATTAGGCTGGTTTGGGATGATTTGTTCTTAAGTAACAACCAACATGGATTTGTCATCACCCTATCATTCTCAATGTGCTTACAAACTGATTTTTTAATAATTTATTCCAGTATCTTTCCAGACATCAAGTTACGCTGATTGGTCTATAACTCCCTGGTCTATTGGTCTATAACCTCTTTGTTCCCCTTTTAAAGGTAGGTACTATGTTTCCAATCTCCAACCTTCTGGGACCTCACCAGTCCTCTAGGGTTCTCAAAGACAAATGTTGATGGTCCTAACATTGCTTCAGCTAGTTCCTTAAGGACCCTAGGATGAATTTCATCAGACCGTGCCAACTTGAACATATCTAACTTATTTAAATATTTTTTAACCTGTTCTTTCCTTATTTTGGCTTGTGTTCCTTCCCCTTGCTGGTCTGCTAACTAGAGGACCTACACTTTCCTTCATCTTTCTCTTGCTCCTAATGTATTTAAAGAAGCTCTTCTTATTGACTTTTATGTCCTTTGTCAGGTGTAACTCATTTTGTGCCTTAGCCTTTCTGATTTTGTTCCTATGTCCTTGTGCTATTATTTTGTATTCATCATTAGCAATATGTCCGTGTTTCCTACTATTTGTAGGATTCTTGTTTTTATTTTCAGGTCATTAAAGAGCCCTGATGGAGCCATAATGGCCTCTTACTATTCTTCCTATCTTTCCGTCACATTGGGATTGTTTGCAGTTGTGCCTTCTCACCCTGTGGATCGTAACTCCCTGAAGAGATGTAAACGGGTTTCAGAGAGGTTGTTTTCTTATTTAAAAAGAAGTTTTTTGCTAGTACTTACAGTTGCGGAGATATCCTCAAAAAGGTGAACCGAACATAAACCAATACAGCAGCGCCAGCCTGAATTAGCAGCTCTATGAAATGTAAATTGCTCCATTCATCTCAATCAAAGCTCTATGGACTCTGTTATTCTGTGGCCATGGAATCAGGTATTTTTCCATTATGCCTCAAAATGGAGTATTTTATCATGTAATTTGCCAATTACCTGCAGCCAGTTTCCCATCGTTATTTTCCTTTGTCTCCCTGCTATACTGGGACCTGCTTGTAACTGTTTCTTACTCTCCAGTTTTCCACTCAAGGGGAAGTTAATTGGATTACAAAGTGCACTGTTACAGGAGGCAAGCAGCTGGGCAATCCCAATCACCCTCTTTTTCTTCTCTCTTCTGTAGATCCTCTGAATGTGTCTCTGCCCTTGCAGAACACTTCACAGACCATCACTGGCCTGCTCTAAATGCCTCTTTTTAGGGACTGAATTTGACTTAGGTTTTCAACCTGGAGGTC